CTGGTGAATCGAGCAGCTCTTCACAGAACAGGCTACATTTAAATGATGTCTTAAAGGACAGATGGAAAAAGTGGGGAAAGGGTTTTCCAGGCATATGGATCCCTGAAGGTTGAAGCATGGAGCTGTACAACAGCCTGGCACACTTAGCAAAGATGGAAAAGTTCAATGTCGGAAGACGGCACTGGACTTACCCAATTGTGGGCGAACCAGATGAGTACTTCCTGAGAAGACAGGCCCAGGACAAGTAGGCCAGACTGGGCCTCTACCGTCTGTGGAATGTGCTGCCACTGTGTCACCCAAGCATCAGCCTACTGGATATCTAGGGCCACCACATCCTTTAAGATTTAAACATAACTTCCCCTGATGGGAAATCAGTGTCCCTCCCTGACTTCTGCGGTTTCTCCCAGCCACCTCTGACTTCTACTCCTTGCTTCTTCTCTTTTACTTCATCCTCTTTGTTTGCTAGATAACATCTGGCAAAACCCAATTCCTACCCTCCCCCAAGCACTACTGGCATCTTCATAGGGACTTTTACTTAAGTGAAGGGCTGGGTGACAACACAGTGCAGCTGTCATTCCCACTGCTGGGATTTTCTTTCCCATCTCCTCAGGGTGCCCTGGCAAGAGCTTGCTGGTAGTTCAGTTCCACTCTTTTCTGCTCATCTGCTGCTAATTGCCCACAAGCCCTTGCTACTTGCTCATATAAAGCAATTTGGCTTTGCCACTCCTCCCATAACCACAAAGGACACCAAAGTTTCTTTACAGAAAAAAAAAAAGATAGCTGAGGATTTCTGTACTCCCTCCCTGCAACATCCTTGAAAGGTGGTATGAGAGAAACTTCCCAAGAGCCTTTATACTTTTAAGCAGATGTAGAAATTCACCCCCAAGTGCTTCTGATCGTCATAGCATTCACTGGAGTCTGTGAGTTTACTCCATCAGTTTTTGACCAAATGAAAATATACATCAAAGTTTCCCTCCTCTTCCTGGGGATTGCAAAACTCTCCCGTTTCTAGAACGTGTAAACAGAGTCATGCTTACTGCAGGGAAAACGCTGACTCTCCTTTGGTCAAACCCTATGCCTTCATGTTGACTTTTACTGTTGTTATTTGAGTTTGGCAGGCAAGCTAGGGTCAGGAGACTAAAGGACAGGCCTGGTGGATCAGAGCATGTCTAGGCATTTCCTGTTGAGACGTCCCAAGCCCCGCCCTCTTTTCCAGGACCACACCCACTGGAGAGTTGAGAGAGTCTGGGAGGGGTGGCTGGAAAGCCTGCAAAAGGGTACTGACAAGCTTTATGTCTTACTATATCTAAATGCTCAGAAAGTTTGTGAACTAGAGAAAAACAACTGTAACTCTTTCTTAACGTTCATTCAGCATAGTGTGGTAGGGGAACTTCCCTGAACAAGGCATAGGAAACCAGACCAGAACTTCCCCTTCATCACGTCACGTCATTGCTCTGGATCTGACTGTCCGCCCCGCCAAGTTGAAATGGAAAGGCCCAATCAGATGGCCTGTAATGTTTGCACTCTGTAACTGTAAAACCAGGAGACTCTTGAGACTACTTCAGTTGTCTGCTGAATAAAGCAGCTGAATTCTTGGTCCTGCTGTGGTCAGTTCTAGGTGATAGAATTTTATTCTGTCCTTTGGAAAACTGTCCTAGACCAAGGATGCCCAGGCTTTGTGGAGCCATATTTTGTATCTCTGTGTGCACACACTTACATAGACTCATTCCTCCTCCTCTTAGTGACAACATGCAGCCTTATAAGTTTCTTGTCTTGGCATCATAAGGTGAAAAAAAACCTCTGGAATGAGACCGTAGGTAACAGACTCGACTAATATTTTATTTAATATTTCATTTTGTCGTAAGGTTTTTGTTGTTTGTTTTTTGTGGTAGTAGGAATTGAACTCAAGGCTTTGTGCTTGCTAGCCAGGTGCTCTGCCACTTGAGCCACTCTGACAGCTCTTTTTATGTTGGCTATTTTTGAGATAGGATCTCACTTTATACCCAAGTGGGCCTGGACCGTGAACCTTCTATTTGTGCTTCCCCATGTAGCTGGGGTGACAGGCACACCCCACCACACCCAGCCATTCATTGAAATGAAGTCTGATGAACTCTTTGCCTCAAACCATAATAATCCCAATCTCTGCCTCCTGGGTAGCTAGTATTATAAGCTTTCACCCCTATGCTGGCCTATTTTGACATGCTTTATAATCATAAATCATCACAGTTAGCAGGTACAAGGGGTAAGAAGTAGGAAGCTAGCATTGATTTGATATCATCGAATGACTGAAAAAAGCCAAACACAAAGGAACAAAATTCAGAACCTGCATGAGTTCAAACCCAGCTCTGCTCCTACAAGCTGGGTGACCTGAGCCACCTAATCTCACTACCTCACGTCTCTAAAATGGATTCCCATAAGTAATGCTGCCTTCCTCACTGGGCAGTTCCAAGGTTAAATGTAAGTACTCAGAAGAGGAACTGCCATATGAGTGATAAAGGATGTATAGTCTCAGTGGTGTGGTATCACAAATTCAGTACCTGGCTACTGAGCAGCTACTTGCAGTTAGAAGACACAGGTCAACAGAATCCACTGTGTATTTAAGGGTCATGACCCCATGGTAAAGATCTGTTCAAGAATGGGGATGGCAGGGATAGGGGGAGAGAGAGAGAGACCCCAGTGCCAACTACCAGAATGTGGCAAATCTCCTCATCTGCTATGGTCCCTCTGTCCTTTAAGATATATTAGATTTTAAACTTTTTTTTTTTTTTCAAAAGAAGCCTTCCTATCCTAAGCATAGCAGCAAACTCCAGGAGTCCTATGTACTAACTTGTTACTGTTTTCTTTTGTCACCTCTGGCCCTGACCTCCCTTTTGCTGACTGTTTTCCCTTGCTTCCTACTTGCCTCCTGCATGGGGTGCCCCTTTCCACACAGTGGTGCCCTACATCTGAGTGTGACTCACCAGTTCCCAGCAAAAAAAGCCATGCACGCTGAGTGTTTGGTCCTCTTTGGTCATTCTTCTGCTTTGCAGACTCCTGTTCCTGCCTCCTTTCTCTACCCAGGAGAGAAATCATGCCATTTCCTTGTAATCTACCCAGGACTGTACACAGTGGTATTTTTCTCCCCTTGACAGGAATAATTACAACGCCAAGAGGAAAAGCAGTTTTTACCAATTAACCTTCTCTTTCCATCCATCAACTTGTTCCTGTCACTAAGTTGCAGATACTAAATTAGTGCTTTATTTGAATCACCTTATTTAATTTATCTGTAAATTCAACAGACAATTCTTGGACACCTATCTCGTACTAAGTAGTGGCATTCTAAAAGCAGAGATATCTGATGGTCCCTGCTTACAATGGTGCAACTTATAAGTTCTCAGCTTTTCAGCATGGCAAAAGTGATTTGTCTTCAGTAGAAACCTTTCAGTAGAAATACTTCGAATTGAGTTTTGCTCTTTTTCTGGAGTAGTCACATACAGTACCATACTTTCTTCCATTGTGGGCAACAGCAGCTCCAGGTCAGCTACAGGATTGTGAGGGGAAACAACTGATCCCCCACAGTGTGTGTTTGCCATGCTGGGGTGTAGACTGGGTATTAGGTGCCTTCTCATTTTCCAGGGGGTTTATCAGGATGTAACTCCATCATAAATCTGCATAATAATGAACACAACATAATAACAAAAGCTTCTGTGAAACTTACGTTCTAGTGTAGAGAGACTCACACTAAATAAATGTCTAACCATTGTAAGAGCCATAATTAAAAATGAAGCAGATAGGATGAAAAGATTGGATGAATGGCTAGGAACGCCTCTCTGAGGAGTGATCAGAAGGAAATGAGGAAAAGTATTCCTAGACAAGACAGCACCTATGCTCAGACCCAAGACAGCAGTGTGCTGGAGTATTTGGGGAACAGAGGAGAGCAAGCAGAGAGAGAGAGTGTGATGGGACGAGGCTGGGTGAGCACAAACACAGCCCCCACAGGACTTACTCTGCTGCCATGTCGAAGATGGATTGTAGGCCAGCAAGAGGGCAGCAGGGAGGCCAGTAAGGAGGCCACCACCATATCCAGGAGAAAACTCATAGGGGCATGGTCCCGGGGGGACCTGGGGGGTTACAGTTGGAAAAGTAGGAGCAATGGGACTTGCTAGAGAACTGGAATAAGGCACAGAGGGGTAGTTGCAGAAAAGGGGAATTTAAGAGTGGCTCCCAGGCAATGGGGAAGATTACAGGAGCAACAGGTTTGGGTTGGGAAATCAGGATTTCTCTTTGCTTATTGTTGTGATGTTTAGTAGTTCTCAAGAGAAAACATGAATGTCACATCATCAGTTGGCGTTCAGAGGAATCAGGACTGAAGATATAAGTCTGTTTTCTGCAGCTATAATACAATACCAAATATGGGGAAACTTATACAGAAAAGAAACATTTCTTCCAGCTCTGGAGACCTACATTTCTAGAAAAATCCAAGGTCGCAGAGCATGCATCTGGCAAGGGCCTTCATGCTGATCATTCAATGCAGAAGTGGAAGGGCAAGAAAGCATATACAAAAGACAGCAATAGAACAAGAGGGGCCCCAACTCCCTGTTATAACAAGGCTACTTGTGTGAAAATTAATGCACCTGTGAGATAACAACATTAGTTAATTTGTGAGGCACAGCCCTCGCCACCTAATCACCTCTTGTTAGGTTCCACCTCCCAACACCGTGGTATTGGGGATTACACTCCCGACAAAGGAACTCTGGAGAACACATACAAACCACAGAACCCTGTAAAGGAGGGTCCCAGGACTGTGTCACAACCTTACCTGGTAGTACTGTATAAAAATACCCACTTTATAGGTAAGGAAAATATAAGTCAACTGACTTACTCAAGGTCAAGTGAACTTTAGCACTGGGATTTAACCTAGGCAGTGTGAATCTCCAAGCTCTGCTCTTACCCACTTCATTATGGTGGGCATATACACATAGCAAGGTGCTTTGTCTTCATGTGTCACAATGTCTTTATAGGAAGAAGATGATGATGGCCTGCCTAAGAAAAAGTGGCCTACAGTAGATGCCTCTTACTATGGTGGGCGAGGCGTTGGAGGCATTAAAAGGATGGAGGTAAGAGCTTGGCTTCGTGCACACTTAGCTGTGTGCTGACTACCAATGACAAGAGATTTAGAGCAAATGGAGACAGCTCCTACTTGAGGTCTAGTGGGGATGCAGATTGTAAGACAGAAAAGGTATAGCCTTTTAACTGTGCACCCTGATCTTTCCCACTGTGGTCACAGCAGGCTGTTCATCTGCTCAGATCCCCTCAGTGGTTCCCTTTCTCACTGGAACAAAACCCAGAGTTCTTACCTGCCTTTATGCATGCAGTCCCACTATCTGGACAGCTCCTTCCCTAAATATCCAAACACATAGCTTGTGGGGAGTGGAGTAGGAGAAACCTATGAGGATATTAGCACAATTGTACTCAATGTTCTGAAGGCTGAGTTCAGCACAGCCCTAGCCACAAAATAAGGCTACAGCAAGATGCAGAGCAGCTGCTTTTCCTAAGATGTTTATGTCAAATAATCTGTAGGCTATTTGGCACAGCCCCAGCCACAGAAGAGAGCAAGAAGGCAAGATGGAGCTCAGCTGCTTTTCCTAAGTTGTTTACATTCAGAGAAGCAGGAATACAGGATCCTTTTGTTACAAGGACTGAGACTTTAAGAAAGTTAAAGAGAGAACATGGGACAGTACAAGTCTGGAAGCAAAGACTTTAAGAGAGATTATGCTAAAGAAAAGCTAAGGGACAGTACAAGTCTAAGGAAAGAGACTTTATAGAACAGAAAAGAAGCCTTTAGAAGTGAGGTTTTAAAGAGTAGAAAAGAAGCAAGGATTTAAAGAAAGACTTTAGAAGCAAGGTTTTAAAGAACTGTAAAGGAGTAAGGCCTTAAAGAATACAGATAGAGAAAAGAAGCAAAGTAAATGAAGAGAATAATAGAGAAAAGGAGCAATGAGGCTGCTGTACCTCTCCCTCCGAGCGCCCAGAACACCTGGCCCCAACTTTCTGTCTGTCTGTCTATCCTGTGTGCTTTCTGCATCTCATGTCACCTCCAGTTAGGCCCAGTTAGGTTCAGTAGTAACAAGGGAGCAAGAGAAAGCTTGCTTCAATAGCTGGCACTTGGTACTCCTTCTGCCCCCCTTTCCCTTTTCCCACAGCCCCCTCTTCCCTGGCCCTCAATAACCAAAGCACTGGAGGATTGAGTAGTACGTGCATTGCCCATCACACAGGTATTTGTCATTCCTACTCTCAGGAGTAGCCTATTTTATGTTGTCACTCCGTCTCATTGTATTTTATTTATTTTAGGTCCGTTGGGGAGAAAAGGGCTCCACAGAAGAAGGTGCTAAGTTGGAAAAGGCAAAGAATGCAAGAGTCAAGATGCCTGAGCAAGAGTTCGAATTCCCTGAGCCTCGAAATCTCAACAACAATATGCGCCGGCCCTCTTCCCCCCGGAAGTGGTACTCTCCAATTAAGGTGAGTCTCTCTTCACTCAGAGTATCCATTGAGGACCCCTTCTGCCTGGTTGTGAATGAATCTCCTTTGTTCTCCAGCATTTCTCTTCCCCACTCAGCTCCAGACCCTAAAATACCCTGGCTTCTTGGGAAGTTTAAGCTGGAGAGGTAGTTAATGCTCTCTGTGCCCTCTCTTCTTTGCTCTTGAGTACAAATGGCTTTGAATTCATGTGGTTGGATCCATACCCTTCTCTTCAGCCTTACACTGCATCTGTACTATGTCAACTGTCAGACAGCCTTGGAAACTCACAACAGAAAAGACTGAAGACACAATCTATCCCCACTCCCTCATTTCATACAGGAGAAAACTGAGATAGGAAAGGCCTTGCTCTGCTAACATGTGGAACCCAAGGCCCTAACTCAGGGCCACAGCCCCCAGTTCCATACTACAAACAGCATGGAGTCCACTCCAAAGCCTCAAGTGAAAGACTCAATGTGGGATCCAGTACCCATCCCCTCCCAGACACACACACACACACACACACACACACACACACACACATACACACACACAAAACCTTGTCCCCTGTTCCAATAGCAGTAAAAATCATTTTTATCATTCACTGAGTTATTTGCAAATTTTATAACAGCCCTTCTACAAAATCAAAAGAAATACCATTTACTTTGGAGTTGAATAAAACTTTATTGATAGTCATCTTTTCTCAGCTGACCCAGCTCAGGCTCACACAGTTTGCCATGTTTAGAGCAGTGAGATTCTTTTTTTAAAATAAGCCTCCCTAGGGCAATGGATTGGACTCTGGGAAGATGCAGGGAGGTGAAACTTGCTGGAGGAACAGCTGTGTGCTCCTAATTCTTTTCTAATAGAGAGTGTGCAGTGGCGTGCACACATGTGCAGACAGGAAGGAGCCAAGGAGATTCTCAGATGAAGAAAGAAGATTTCCTATTATGTCATTCTCAGGAATCTGTACCTTGTGACTAACACATCTTCTGTTGCAGCTAAGTTTTCACTTCTGTGATCTTGGACACTGAAAGCTCATTAATTCTACTTGAAGAATCCAGTTTCTGCTTGAGAGTGTGTTATTCCCTATTAACTGGTAGGTTAGAACTAAGTTTTATAAATAAAATACAAATACACTTAGAAATCTAAAAACGCTCCCAACACCCACTTGGAATCAGTATCAACTCAGTGGGTTTTGTCATGCACCTAGTATGTGCCAGGCCATGCCATCTCCCAAATAAACAGAGGTGCTCAAACCTGAGTATCAGAATCACCTGAAAGTGCTTTCAAATGAAGATTCCCAGGCCTAGGTGCTCAGAGTTGCACAAAGGACCTCCAAAAGTACACTGGCCCTCACAATTTGTCTCAGCAAATGAAACTCCTTTTACTGCCCAATACCTCCCTTTTTTGATTTCACATCCAAACTCTCTCATTCTCCTCTATTGACCTAGTGATCCCTTCCTTCCCAGCCCCAGTCTTCAGCCTCCTCCTTAGTCACTGTGAACCACTGATTCTCCAAAGTGTGGACCCCAGGTCAGCACCATTAGCATCACTCAATAACTTACTAAAAATGCATAATTTCTGTAAGATCAGCCAAATCAGAAACTCCAGTTGTGGGGCCCAGTCATGTGGGTTTTTAATATGCCCAGTGGAAAAGCCATGGAAGGTTCCAGCCAGCATTTGGAGGACAGGCACTGCAATACCTGGGTTATTAAAATAAGCAGAGGCTGTGACCATCCCTTGGTGACTTCTCAGAAAGCTCAGCAAGGAGACCCACATTAGAGTCACATTGGGGACATTTTTCACCCCCAACCCAACTGCTGGATTAATGTTAAGTGATTGGGAATCTGAGTGTCATGGAGTCACCTGAAGGACCAGATGGGAAAGGCTTATGATGCTGGTGGACTTGCTGTTCACCTTGGCAGGATTCCCTGGTTAGGACATGAAAAAGTAAGCCTGGTGGAGCAGCTGATGCCAATGCTTACTCACACTTTCTGCTAGGTAGGAGACGCATAAATAGCCATTGGTGCCATTACTCATGTTCACGAGCCTTTTCCCACTAGATTTCACCCCCTGAAGGCACCAATTATGCTTTGAAGCCCCAATCAACAGCATTGTGCCTGGCACAGAGGAGGGACTCCACCAACTCTTGTTGAAGAATTCAGGCACAGGATGTAATTATGAAACCATTCTCAGACCACCATGTCAATCAGACACAGCTCACAGTGGTACACCCTGTCCAGAAAGGTGACATTTTTCTTGCCATCTCTAAGGAAAAGGCAGAAAAAGTTCATTTGATGTGTATCAGGACTGGGTGCCTGAGGAAGGGCAGGAAAAAGAACAGAAACACGGAAAAGAATTTGTATTCTTTCTGTAGATGAAAGCATACTGGCCACAACTTCAGTTCCCACAGTGTGTAACAAGGACCATGCTCTGTGCTGAGCCTTATTCTAGTTGCAATGTCTGTGGACATTTGTTAGGTCCTGGACAAAACATTGAGCCTTATGTGGCACCATAAACTCTACTTTCCCTTCTGGAACCTTCTCACAGTGTTCATCACAGTCCTGTGTAGAAGGAGAAGGCACACTCCAAAGAGTTGAGCTAAGCAAGGGTGGACAAGGTCAAGGGTCCCCACAGAGGTGGTAGGACCCCCAAAGATTAGCCTTAGGGAGAGCCATTACACCCCTAGACCTGCAGGGCAAGGAGAAAATGGCGTCTCTGAAGACCAGCAAGAGCCACAGTCCTCGAGAAGAGAGTACCCATCGGGAGCTGTTGCCATGGGGCAGTAGTTTGCAATCTAAATCTGTGGGTTTTATACAACCCACAAGCAAAGCATGGCTTTTACATTTTAAATGGTTATGTTTTAAATGATTATATAAGTACTGATGCACCCTCCATTTTGCCCCTTGATCTGCAAAGCCTACAATCTTTACTCTCTGGCTTCTTCCAGGAAATGTTAGTAGGTACCTACCCTGTAGGAATACAGCTGCTGCTGAAGACAGAAGGAACAAGCACCCATCTCGCCCTCACCTTGTCTCTCATCTCCTTCTGGTTGCACCTACTGGCCAAAGGGGAGCCAGCTAGGGTAGAAGCAGCTGCCAAGGCCTGGAGCAGGGAGGCAAAGAAATCATGCAGTGCTCAGTGGACGGGGACAGTCAGCTCATGCAGAATGACCCTTGCATACTGTGCCCACCTTCCATACCCATTAGAACTGTGGAGAGCACCTCCACCTAGCACAGAACTTCCAGCAAAGCAGGTGTGATGGCGAACAGCTAGAATCCCAGCATTCAGGAGAAAGAGTCAGGAGGATCAAAAAGTGTTAGTTCAGCCAGGGCTACTATGTAGAAAGATCCTATACATAAAAAAAAGAAAAAGAAAGAAAAAGAAAGGGGGGGAGCAAGAGAGAGGAGGGGGAGAGAGAGAAGAAAGAAAAGAAAGAAAGAGAAAAGGGAGGGAGAAAGGAAGGAAGGAAGAGAGAGAAAAGAAAGAAAGAAAGAGAGAGAAAAAAAGAGAAAGAAGTGTGGCTCAAGTGGTAGGATGCCTGCCTAGCAAGCATAAGGCCTTGAGTTCAAACCCCAGTACCACCAAAAAATAAAGGAAAGAAAGAAAAGAAAGATGGCAAAAACTTTTAACAGTGCCTGAGAAGACGCCTAGCTCCCAGCAAAAGTGGTCAGAAGCATACACATATTTAAATGGACTGCATTTGACCTACTTTTTTCACACATTCCATGAAATAGACTTGAGAGTCAGGTGAGCTCAGTTGCTAAGCAAGGCCAGTGAGAACTTAGGGAGAAAGGCCACAATGGGTTCTTCTCTCCCACCGTTTCCCAGTCTAATGTGAGGCACTGACCACACCAACCACACATCCCTGTCCTCATTCCAGGCTCATCATCAAGACATTTCTCCCCTGATATTTAGCCTGCATTTTCCTTTACTTGGTTTTCACCCCCAGATTTACAGTACCCCATGCTTCTCATTAAACTGGAACTGACCATTGCAGACAAGTTAAGTCATACCCAAATATATGGCCACCAGCTAGATTAAAACCAGAACCAATTGCAGGTTTGTTGGAAGGCTTTCAGCCTTTACAGAAATCATTTTTCTCATTCTCCAGTAGCTCCTCCACGTGACTGAAAGTGACAGAAATGACAGCTGAAGGACAAAAGCCAGACACTGTCTAGCCAGGCAAGCCGGCCTTTCTCTACAAAAGAGGCAGACTGTGGGGGTCAGGTTTAGCCTGTCCCACTTGCAAGGCCGGGGAGCCTAGTGGTCTTATGTTTATTTCTTGTAGGGCCCACCTGTCATCCTTGACCTTAAACACCTTGACCTTGTAGTCAAGCAGTACTCAGTTATGACACTGTACTGGATGAAACTGCACGTAGCCAAGCAAGACATACCTGAGCATAAAGTGTTGTCAGAAGTGCTGTTGCGGCTAAACAGATTCCGTCTCTCTCTGGCTACATTTTTAGAGTGGTCCCAAACTTTTCTTAAAGAAATGCCAAAAGAAAAATTAAATAATTACCCTGTGTGTGTATGAGTCAGGAAAGCTTCCAACCTCATCCATTAACTTAAATTCATTCATTAATTTCATTTGAAGGGAAGCCTGGGACCTACTGCCATGTATTTCAAGGTATAGAAGTTCAGTTGTCAATCCATAATGGCCCTATACATTGAAGTACCCTAAAAAAAAATCTCAACTTCTGATTCCCATCCAAATAGCTAAGGCAGACAAACCAGAAAAGAAGACACAGCTGCTTTCTGGCAAAAAGAAACAAAAAAGGGAACCCAGCCACAAACACCCATGCATGAGGGCGCCTTAAATGATGGCCCTGATAACATTCTCAGTCTTACTGTGTAGAAAGAACCAAAAGTCATTTCCATAGAACTTCGAGTTTGTCTGTCTTTATGAAGTGGAATTATTGTCTAAGGTTAAATGAGGTACAGTTTAGGGACCCAGAAGTGGTAAATTCCTCACTTTATAGTCTAATTGTATCAACTCCATATGGAAGAAAGCTATTTTTAAATATCAGCTAATATACTCTGCAGAGGGTTCCAAGGTTTGTGCTGAAATCTTTTGACATAGCTACACAGAGCAGTTTAGCATTTCTTCTGGGGGGTGAGGACCAGTGTCTTCAGTACATCCTGTGAGAGGCCTATGTCTGATGGATGTCCAAATCTTAGATAAAGTGTTGCCCTTGATAGTGGACCAGGAACACAAATCCCCTGAGGTACTTTTGGCCTCAAAGGGATGTTCTGAAAAAGGCCATTCTCTACTGTCTTTAAATAACAGACTTCAGAAAATCTAGACTCCTTGGGGCCTTTGTCATGGTCTTCTCTTTGACTATACAGTTATTTTTTTATCCTCTTAGTTGCAACCATCCTATCCAATTCTTGCATTAGAAGCTCAGCTGACATAGGAATAGGTTGCATGAAGGTGTAGGTTGCATAAATTACCCAGATTGTTTTGTGGGTCACAGATTAGGGGCTTTGGATTCATTATTGGGACAGTCAGAACTCATAATGCTGAGGATACAGTGGAACTAGCTTCCCTGACTGGAATATCCAATGACAATAGCTCACTATGTGTAGCATACACCCCAGATCAGGCTGAGTTCCAAGTGTTTACACATTGTTTATTTCTCACAACAACCCTCAAAAGTAGAAACTGTTACTCCTCCCTTTAAGAAATGGAAAAACCGAGACACAAAAAGGGTAAGTAACTTGCCCAAACTCACTCTACTAGTAAGATGGTTGGTGCAGAAACCATTTGAGCTAGTGATGGAATCCAATGTAGAGAGAGGACCAGGAGCCTGGAGGTAAAAGACCAATAAGGAAACCCTTCACAGAATGAGTCACAGGTGATGAGGGCCTGGGTCAAGGCAGTAACCATGAAGGTGGTGAGACAGGACTAGACAGGATGAGGAGACAGGAGAGCTGCTGTAGAGAGACAGACCAACCCCAAGACATGGTTGGTATTGGACATGAGGTGTCAGAGAGGAAGTTAGATTAATTCTCTGGTATCCAGCTTATCTGTTCATGAACCAAGGCAAAGTATGCAAAAAAGGGGAGCAGGTTTGGGGAGAAAAGAGTTCATTCAATTTATGATGTTTGGTTTTTGATCCTATGATACATGGACATTACAATTAAGATTTGGGGGCTGGCAGAGTGGCTCCAGTGGTAGAGTGCCTGTCTAGCAAGCAGTAGGCCCTGAGTTCAAACCCCAGTACCACCAAAAGAAAAAAAAGAAGGTCTAGTAGTGTACTCAATCCGGGCCTTGAGAGAGAGAAACAATGGATAGAATGAGTGAGTCACAAGACTAGGCCAGGACACTCAGCCCGAGGGACTAGCACAGAAGGAGTGACCAAAGGGACCATAACTAAGTCAAGCATAGGCAGGGGAAGGGGAGCCAAAGAAGCTGATGGGACTAACCAGAGAAAGAGGGGGAACAGGCCAAAGTTGGTACCCAGGCCAAGGGAGGGCGTCCAGAAGGGAGAGCCCGACACAACAGATCCCTTAGAAGGATAGAGTAAAGCTTTTAGCAATCAGGATGCGTGGATGGGCTTAGCGAGAGCAGTCTGGGTGGAGTGGTAGGGAAGGAGCCCAACTAGGACACCCTGAAGAGGAGTAAAATTGCAGTTGGGGAAAGGGATTGAAAGAACACCGAATGGAAGGCGGGCAGCTACATGCTTCCTAAGTTCTATTTGTTGGATTGGTACACTGCATTCCATTCTTTTCAATCTTTTACAGAGTTTCTAGAATGATCATTTTAGTGACTTTACTATGATTGCAGATAACATGTACTGAATATTTTCTCTGAGCCAAGTACCTAACTTCAATATTTAACTTTAAACCTTATGTCTGTAGACAGTATTATTATCTCCATTTTAAAGATGAGACAAGTAAGGAGTTGTAACAGCTTTTCCAAGCAGCAGGTGAGGGAAGACACCTCCAGAGCCTGGCCTTCTGACTTCAGTACTCTTGTGCTGAAGCTCTGCACTGAAATCTGCCACAAAGGACCATAATTTCCTCCCCTTTCTCATGGGACCATACATCAAGGTGGTTTCTGCTCTTTTGCTATGCATGCAACTCTGAATTTCCTGCTGAGCTAATTAATACTCTTGTTCAAGAGCAAAAGTTTCTTCTTTCAGCCTCATCCTCCCGCTCTTCATTTGTGAAGGAGTTGAGTGATTAGCATACAGACAGGATGCTGTGGGTGGGCTAATTTACAAAGCCAAATGCTGGGAGTCCATCCCTCCCCACTCCAAAAGAAGGGAGAGAAAAAGAAGGCATTCATCCAGGAAATCCACCTGGTGGTATCCTGAACTATAAATGCTTATCCCAAAGAACCTCAGAGGAAAACATTCAGCTGATAATTGAAATTGTTTAATGTAGAAATCTATGCTGAACACAGCAGTGGTTCTACCCAGCACTCTAAAGTCATTTCAAAATAGTTTCAAAGGCTTTTGTAAATTTGTTGCTGAAGCAGATGAGAAACACTATACTTGGCAAGATAAAGTTTAACCCACTGGAGCTCAAACAACAGTTGACAAAAGTTCAAGAGTGCAACTTTTTTAGATGTGCATACACCCCACCAGAGAATAATTCCAGAGTATGAAGTCTTTGAGATGATTCTTAATACTGCAACTATGGCTGCTTTGTGTTGAGGGTCTTGAATTTTCTAGATGTCCCCCAGCCTTCCCAGCACTATCATCCAGATCAGCATTTTCAAACATTCTAACACCCCCACATGTACTACATTTTATATTTTGACCCAACACACACACACACACACACTCACACACACTCACACACACTCATACATACACAACTGAAACAAAATTTTCATAAAATAGTGCTTATCCTCACCATGTGCAATTAACCATTTTCTGTTCTGCTGTGTCTCTTAAAAATTCTAGTCCTAGCACACAAAATTGATCTCATCAGTAATCAAAAGGTGGCAACCCACAGTATAGAAACCGTTTTCTAAAGGTTCTCCATTAACACTGTCCAGCCAGATCTTCATGAGGTAGGATCTTCAGTTGTTGTAACAGAAAATATCTGAGCTTTAGAATTACACAGCCAGAGGTTCTACGCGCCACTCCCCAATTGACAAGCTCTGTGCCATTGGACAAGATCCTCAATCACTTCCCTGTCCATTTCCCCCTGCCACTCTTTGGCATTGTTGAGAGAATTAAATGAGAGGACACAATGGAAAAGCAGCTAGCACATAGGAGCATTGTCACCCAACAATTATGTATTGAGTGCCAGGTGCTGCTCTGAGGGGGGCATTCAGCAACAAACACAACTAACCACACCTCTTTCATGGATCTGGCATTCCACCGAATAGAGACAAACAGTAAGCAAATAAGAACCAAATATCTTAGGGAGAAAGAAGGGCTATATTGGTTTCCTACTGCTGCTATAAGAAATTCTACACTTAGAGGCTTAACACAATGCAAATTTTTTATCTTATAATTCTGAAGTTCAGAAGCTAAGACAGATCTCGTTAGGCTAAAATCTAGGTGATGGGAAGGTTGTGCTCCTTCTAGAGGCTCCAGAAGAGAATTCATTTCCACATCCAGAGTCTGGAAGCTGTCCACGTTCATTGGATTGTTGCCCCTTCCATCTCTAAAGCCAGGATCAGTGGGTTGAGTCTTAGTCTCACTGAATCACTCAGGCTCTGCTTCTGTTAGCACATTTCTGACCCCTCACCTCCTGCCTTTCTCTGTAAAGTCCCCCTGTGGTTAGATTAGGACCACCTGGGTGGTCCATCTCAAGAATCTTCAACTTAATCACATCTACAAAGTCCTTTTTGCCCCATGAGGTAACATATTCACAGGTTCCAGAAAGTAGGAGTCATTTTTAGAGGTGCATGTTATCATAAACTGTGATAACCTTGATGCTAACATAGTCGCTCTTCTGAGTTTCAACCAATTACATTCAGCCCCAAAGGGATAACGATTTGGAGGAATCTGTGATGTTCAGTCATTTATCTCTGGAAGCTGGGGCTCCTGAGGAAGTTGTAGCTGGTAAGTGAGCCTGGCAAATAGCCAGGGATCTGCATCCCAGAGACCTTTCACTGGTCTTGCCCTGTCAAGAAAGCAAGGAATTTTCCAGATTTCCTGGACTTGTCATCATTGCCTTCCTTGATGAACGCTGGGCACCAAATAGGAAGAAGAAACTTTAGTGAAAGTTGAAAAGATATTAACTTGTAGTGTGAAGATATCCCCAGAAATGTAGCAAGAACAAAAGCCAAGACCCTAAATGAATCTGTGTGGGCATATTTGGGGGTGGGGGGGGTTACTCAGGTCTCAGGGAGTATCCTTTATAAGCAACAGGGTCCTCTGTGTGTGTGTCTGTGTGGCTTCTGTTACATTCACAAAGCCTGAGTTTTGTGTTAAGAGACTGGAGAGTTTCTAATCCTGCCGCAACCCTGTCGCCAGGTTCACGTGATGGAAGAGGTGTGGAAATTCTGTGAATCTACAGCAGCATGTATGCATCTACCGCTGGCATGGATTCATATGTAGTCATGGTACATTTGTTTTGTTTCAGGGAAAACTCGATGCCTTGTGGGTCCTACTAAGGAAAGGATATGATCGTGTGTCGGTGATGAGGCCACAGCCAGGAGACACGGTAGGACTCATTCATGGTCACACACACACACACACACACACACACACACACACATATACTTTTTTTTTCTTTCTCTCTGTCTTGGTAGAGCTCAAATAACTCCAGGATATACAAATCCAGCTGTTGCTTCATGTTGTAACAAATCTGACACTAATTTTTTTTTTAATTTCTCATTGTTACAAGACTTTGGGTTTCAATTTGCTTTTCTGCAAAGGATTGTGAAAGATTTTGTGTTTAACTTCCTAGAACCTGAAACAGTGAATGGGGGAGCAGGCCTGGCTCATACTTCCTGCAGTCCCAGGAGGGAGGCATGCTGGTTGTCAGCCACGCTGGCCAGCGGTGAGGCACAGAATGCCAGCACCACAAGAACAGGATGAGGAAAGAAGGGGCCCCAGAGAACCCCTGCAGTCTTCCAGCAGGTGTTGGGCCCAACTATCTAGGTTCTTAGGCAGAGTTCCTATGCTGGTGAGAGTTTATCCAGGAACTGTCAGGGCTCAACCAGTGTCTCCACCCAAGAGGAGTTATACAGGTGTCACCCACAAAGACCTTGGAAACCATCATTTTGGAAATGAGGAAACAGATAAGAGAAGCTGAATAAGTTGTTCTGCTTCAGAAAGTACCAATGCTGGAAACAACTCAGTTCTCTTGAAATCATACCTTTGCTATTTCTTCTGGTAACAGTAGTTTCACTTCCACAGTTTTTACAGAGCAAGGATTGGGACTAAATTCCCCCTCAACTACCAGCAACCTGCATCTCCCATCCACTCCTTAAGAAATGGGCCCATTTACCCAAAAGCAAAATAAAGGTTTCTCATTTAGAAATCTTCCCAAATCAGGCAGACTTGGGTTTAAATGCCACTTTTTCCTGACTAGAAAGCTTCAGGCAAACCACCTAACCTCTCTGCATTTCATTTGGTAGTACTGGAGTTTGAACTCAGGGCCTTTTGCTTACTAGCCAGGCATTCTACCACTTAAGCCACCCTTGTCAGCCTTTTTTGCATTGGTTATTTTTGAGATAGGATCTCACTTTGTGCCCAGGCTGGCCTGGACCTCAATCCTGCTTATTTATGCTTCTTCACATAGCTGAGGATGGCAGGCATGTACCACCAGCTGTTGGTTGAGATGGGGGTCTCACAAACTGTTCCCCCACCATCTTCCATCCTCCCCCACCCCTGGGCTGGCTTTGAACCAGGATCCTCCTGACTCCCACCTCCCAAGAAGCTAAAATTACAGACTTGAGCCATCACACCCATTCTGCACTTTGTTTTTATAAAGTCAGTGACAATGACTGCTTCATAGTGTGGCCAATGGGAAATGGTAATGTCTGTAAAGCATTTAGCTCACTGTTGAGCATATAATAACTCTCAATCTATGGCAAATATTATTGTGATTATTTACTGTGTGCTTTCTACTGTCTGTGGATGGTTGACATAACAGTTTAAGCCACGTTATAATCAATAACTATCAGATGTACCACATCTTTGCCTCGCTCACTCTGCAGCATGGCATCACTGACAATCACTAGAGTGGAGCCTAGCAGACAGCCCCTATCACCCCACTCCCTCTGTAATTGGTGACAAGGGGTGGTTTGCAGCTGAAAGGATTTGATCTAAAGTTTCATATCTTGTGCAATCTAGAGACCAGCTAGCTATTCTTGCTCCACATTGTGGCAGGAATGACAGGTAAGTGCATTAAGAAGACAAGCCATCTAAATGTAGGGTTGATTTGGCCCCTAATGGCACATGGAATTTATTTTTTATTTTTGTGAAAGCCAGCCAGATCAATTTCTACAGCAAATTTTAAAGTGAAAACTTAGTTTTCACTGAAAACACAATTAACAGAAATGAGCACAGGCCATAAAGTTAGCATTCATGGAGATGTTTGCTCTTATAAATTATGCATCTGGTTTCTGTGGAAAATGAGGCATTTTTTTAGCATTCATGAGACTCATATGACAGATTAACAAAAATAATAATTAGATGCCTAAAGTACAATGTATGATCTATTTCTCTTTTTTCTTTTTTTTTTTTTTTTTTTGAGAATCTGAAAAACAGCTCCACTAAAATATGTCAACATTCCATTCTTCATTGATCAGTTTAGCAGAAACACATTCATAAACTGGGTCAACCTAAGAAGTAGGAGGAGTGTTGGAAAAGGAAGGGTACAAAGAAACATCATTTGTAATCACTGTTTAGGGCACAAGGCTGAGTGTACAAATCCAAGAACAATGGAATGAAAACTGATGAAATTTCCTCTAATGAGCCACACCTAAATCGAATCTCTTAAGTTACTAATTCTGAATGAAAGTTTGCACTAGCATTTGAAGATATTCCATATGCTTTTGAGAAACAGTACCACCTTGAACTTTCATTCCCAGTCACACAAAAGAAGAGACTTAAAGTATAGGAAGCCTACCAATTAGGATGCATTTGAACATATTCTCTGTACTATCTCAAATTATGATTGTCCAGTTTAGTTTTAAATGGGATTTTGTTCAAATCCTGCTAAAATTACAAGATGCATGAGAGAAATAGATGCAGAAAATTGTGTCACTGTAGTCACAGCAACTGCCACAGACTCTCTGTACACATGGAGCTACACAAGAACAGTCACAGATTAGGTGGGAGCTAGAATGCAGAGATGCCTTATGCTGGCTGCTCAGGAGAGAATTCCAGGGACAGGAAGTACTACATTAGAGCTTGCTTACTCTGTTTTGTTCTGCAAAGCCCTAGGAGACTCACTACAAGCCTGCATGTCTTGCACAGTGATGACTATAAAAATTCCTCAGCAGTGATTTATGGGACTGACCACATTTTCCATAAACTCCAAATGACTATATCCGGCCATGTGCTCATGAACAAGAGTCACAGGTTCTGCATATTTCCTTTAAAACAAAACAAAAACAAAAATCACCTAATTACAATCTCAGTTCCATTCTGAATTGCTTTCAAACACATGTTAACCTTGCAAAAACCTGGCAATTCTTCTTCCTGGGTTCCTGTCTGCTCCACCATTCTCCCAGCAAACACACCCAGAACTGGAGATGCAGGGAGAACCTACCAACAGAGCCTCTGAGGCTGCCCAGTGGCCTCCAGCCCCCACCGCAGAGCTTGGGAGTGGGGGAAACCTGGGTTCAGAGCCAGCACCCTTCCTGGAATTGGCACTCACCTCCTCAGAGCTGACCAAGCCTCAGGTGAGGGAAAACAGGAATGGAATGACAGCAGGAGAGGTGGCTGCTTCCCACTGCTGTCGCCTGTCGCCATCTGTCTGCCTGGGATGTCTTCACTATCCCCTTGTTCCCTTCCCCACCAGAAAATCCTTGGGCCAACATAAAAGAAAAAGTACCAAAAGAAAAAAAAGTGTTAAATAGCAAACCAGTAATACCTCCGGTCCTAAAATTTTATAAGTTCACTAAGCATATGGTGCCCTTTGCTTAAAGGACACCAGTAAATAGCCACTGCAATACCCTTTCTAAAACACAAGCCAATGTGCCCTTCTTGGCTTCAGACTTGAAAAAGGAAAAAAAAAAGGGGGGGGTAGGAAAAGCCCAAAATCCTTAGCTTGTCTTAGACAGGTCTATCTTTCTATTTCACCTGTTACTCATCCCAGGCTCCCTTGTCAACTTTAAAGAGCCTGCAATCACATGGAGTTAATTGCACACCAAGTCCGGAACATGCCGGGCACTTTTGTGTCTCTGCACCTTTGCATATTCTAGTTCTCTACTCCAAATGCCTTTCCCATCCACTCTCTCTACCAAATGAACCTCTCTTAGCATGGCAATATTATTCATCTTCTCCATGGTGTCCCTGTAACACTTGCTGGCAGTGCAAAGCTGAACACATTAAACAAATACTAAGCGAGAAAGTGTCCCATGAACACTTTCCAGGATGGTCCCCAAGGTTTCCTACACACCTGAGCCACTCTTTGAGTTCAGAAAATTTGCTCAACTTTCAAGAACAAGTGGTTGAAGGACTTTAGGATGTTTGAGCAGAGAAAGAAAATTTAAAGAGACTGTGAGAGCTTTTTCACTTGGTCATTTCTTAGCTATCAACATGATGACCAGAATAATGCATCCCATTTTTCAACCTGTTTTTTGTATTATCATTTCACCATAGTCAAGGAGTAAGCTTTCCATGCCACTACATATCCAGGATCAATACCATTTTAAGGGAGGACTGTGTCATATCTCATTGCATATGTTTTCTTCTGAGATATTTTATTTCCAAGTGATTATTATTATAAATAAAGCTACAATCAGTATCCTTGTTGGCAAATAATTGTATACCTTCACAAATGTTTCTGAAAATGAAGACACTTTCTATCAGATCACATGATATGCAAAATACTGAAGATTGCATACATACTGCCAAATTGACCTCCTGAAAGAATATATGAATTAACCTTCACATCAGCATCTACAGGAAGCTCATCTTCCCAGACACTCACCACCATTATGAAGCTTAGCTATTTGATTCAGGCATGGTGTCACACCCCTGTAATCCCAGTTACTCAGGAGGCAGAGACAGAATTACAGTTCAAGGCCAGCCCATGAGACCCTATCTGAAAAACAAACTAAAAGCCAAAGGACTAGGTCATTGCTCAAATTGTAGAGCACTTACCTAACAAACAGAAGACACTGAGTTCAACTCCCAGTAAACTTACCCATTTGATAGGTGCTCAGTTAATTTTCACTTGTTATTGTTAGTGAAGAAAACAATTTTTCAAATGTTTACTTTCTTTTTTTCAATTGCCTGTAATGTTCTTAGTTCATTTTTCTATTGGATATTTTAGAGTTCGTTTTGTATACTTATTTTGTTGATTCTGTATACTTATTTTGTTGATTCATCTACATTCACTCATTAATCAAATGTTTTTAGAGTCTACCATATGTCAGACCCTATACATTAAGTGCATGGTGCTTTTTCCTGAAACTTAAAGCCTAATACTATATAAATAGGAGAGAGAAAGCAAATATTTTTCTTAGTTTGTCATTCATCTTT